CCCTGTTGAGTGCCATGTGCATTGCATTATCGGGGTCGTTCGTCGCTGTCCAAACAAAATATGTGCAAGTCTGAAGATATATAAGCTTTGGGCATCTTGCTAGCATGATGCGATTGCCTAGTTCGACACATGCCAGGCTCGGAGGACCACGATGATGGCGATACCGCCAAGGGCCTATTGCAGAATATTCTGGAAAGGGTATCCAATGGGGACTCTTGTCTGAAATTTAGATTTGTGTCCTGTTTAAAACGAGAAGCCTTCACCCTAAACCCTGAAAACCCAGAAATACTGCAGCCTCACTGCTCTGTAGCAGCGTCGGCATCTCTCGAACGCAACCATCCTGAGGCCGAGACTGTCGGGTCTGCTATGCACAATGCCCGGGCGAGCTATGAGGAGGGTTTCAGGTTTTACGTGAGAATTCAGTTTCAGCAATGTAGAATGTCATGATCGAAATCTACATGCAGGAATCTGGCCGGCACTTCAAGGGCAAGATTATGTCGAAATTGATGACATATGGAGCTGGCATGCGAAATGATGCACGGGCTTTCTTCAAGAATGTGGAAGTGCCTCTCGCAGCTGGGACAGGATATGTTATTGTAATTTCGGTGTCTTATGGGGGCTTTGTTTTCTCAATTCGAATTCATAGGAGGTTTATGGCTTCTCATTGCAAAATACAACTCGAGATACCCCCCTATGTTCACGTAGATTCCTCAATTTGACAGAGCCCAGCAATCTGCTCAAGGTTCCTACAGAAGTGCAAACTACAATCTACGAAGGATATGAGGGTGATCGTAAAGTGGTGCAGACTTCAATACCAGTGATCGATGTACACGAACTCCTCGATTTCCTTCAGACGGAGGTTCAGCTGGTCTGTCCAATGGACCAGGTGAGGGATTTCTGGTCCCGACTACGTCAGAATGAGTACCCGTTTGCTAAGAACTTTCCTGCTAGAAAGGATGATCTGGATTGCATGGTACCATTCAGCATCTACGGCGACGAGCTGACATTGGCCAAGGACAGCCGGGATAAGGTCACCGGAATATTCCTACAACTCACCCTCTTCAAACCCAAGCAATCTCGGCAGGGGATTTGGTTGTTATGTGCACTACAGGATTCTTGCACGATCCATGAGAATCTTCAGACACTGACTCCGATCTTGGAGCATATTGTCTGGAGCTGCAATCAGGCCTGCCTGGGTTCGTATCCAACGGTGTCGAGAACTGGCTCTGCTTTATCTGGGTTGAAAGCCCAGAAGGCAGGCCAAAAGTTTTCGGGCGGCACTCGCTGGGTGTGTGCCGAGCTAAAGGGTGACTGGAAGTGGCATGAGCGAACTTTGCGACTGCTGCGAACCCCTGTGTCTAAGAAGTGCTGCTTTTTGTGTGATGCCGAAATGTCTGATGGCCCACTTCGCTATTATGATCATAGTGATGGAGCACCTTGGCGGCATGCACAATTGGACACTGCAACATTTCTTGGGAGGGCCCTTCGGCCTGGACAAGTGAGTACCTTGGCAAATATAGGTTGCAGCTTTGAAGCTTTACGTAAACTTTATTCCTTCAAGC